TGTCCACCATGTATCTTTTTTTGGAGTCTTTGTACTATTTCCATGTCCTCGAAAACTAAGGTAAAAGATCATTTATTAAATTTAGGATTCAAATCTTGCTTTTATTTCGTGACAATTTATTTACCTCATAGCGTAACAATCATGTCCTTTATTTGAAAACCATCGACAAAAATTATCCCAAGCCCAAGCCGCAATATTTGCTCCATGAATGAATATAATTGGTGGATAATTCTATGTTAAAATTAATTATAATATCATTAATAATAAATTTCAAATAAATATAATACTAAAACTTATTAGTGTTTACCGATATGATATTAGTGGGAGGAAAATGTAAAACTTCGATTTTTATATTTTCATTAGAATCAACGAAAAAGGAATCCTTTTCTGTATAATCTGTATAATATTGTCCTGAAGACATTTTTCTTTAAAAAAACAAATGAATGAGTTTATTGATATAATTTGATTAAATATTGATTTTTTTTTGATGAAGTCGAAATGAATTCTCAGCAATTTTATTAAATTTTTTTTTGGATCGACAATTGTTCCATTTTACAATCAGATTACTATAAACAGACAGAAATTTGTCGCCACATCTATTAACGTTAAGCTTATACTAAAAGGGATTAACTCTCCGAACCAGTTCATAAACAAGATGATTTTCGAGCAAAATTTTCTGAAACCAATCAGAATATAAAACTTTATATTAATTTTTTTGTTCGAATTAGAAAAAATTGTCATTAAAACTTCGGAGTGTGATTCGTACATTTGCATACTGTTTTTGAATATTTCCCTGCATTTGGAAATTTTTAAAAATTCAAAAATTCAGTAATCGTACGATGATATATGATTTAAAACGAATCAATAAATATTTTTTTTATCAATAAACAAAAATGAAATTCTCACGGTGAAAAATTTATACAATTTTCAACATTTCAATGATGTTCGTCAATCCGCAATCCCAACAGTTAAGTCCAGCTCAATGCCGGATCATTTAATCGAAAAATTGTTATTATATACTTTAATAAATGAATATTCATCATTTCTCCTGGTATGATTGTTTAAATAAATTTTTTGACTTTCTTTCTTGCGAATTGGGATTTTCAAAGGTTTTACATTGCGCTACGCAAGAATCTAGTTTTGCATGATTATATTTTTACATAGTTGCTGAGTTTGATAATTTCATTCTAGCACGAGAAGTATTAAGTGCAAATCATTCGCATTTTAAAATTTATACAACTTGCAAATTTGAATTGAAATACCAGTTTAAGTTACACAGTATTATTGTAACACAATCAAAACCATTCAATGAATGAAATTTGAACTCTATTAGTGATGACCCGAATTAAATTATTGAGCGTCTGTTTATGTGACAGTTTAAGGTTGTATTGTATGTAAACTTTTTGACAAATTACAAAAGTATCTATTCCTAAACTTATCTCACTTCTGTCCTATTCCAATTCAAAGTCAAATAAAAAAAATAGAACAAGAGAAATTGATCCAGAGTAAAAATGAAGTCTTAGCTAATGAAGAACAATAAGCTTTATCTATGTCAAATAAGGTTAAGTTCATCATGTATTTTCACATATTCACATGATTTTTGTGCCTTCGAATTATTGAGACTTCGGAGAGTAGAGGTCGCTTGTTAATTCTCCTGTTAGTAAGGGAAGGTAAAAATATAGGTATCTAGAAATAATTCCCCATGTATCCGTGCTAATTTTTTTGTATATTGCAGTAAATAAAAAAAAAAATTCACAGTTACATCGATTAGACCCAAATATTTTGTCGCACATTTTTTCATATAAATAACGTTTCTTAATTCTATTGAAAATGGATCCATGAAAGAATATTTATATTTGACTTCGATATAGACAGATATCATGTGATTGTAAATTTTATTATAACTTCATTCATATGGGGTAGTTTAAGGCACTATTAGAAAGTAGTACTGCCTTATAAATTTTTATCAATATGATTTATCTTTCTTCAAATAAAAATTATTAAGAATAGGGTAAATAATGACTTTATATCTATTCTAGTCTAAAATTTCGCGGGTGGCCAAGCCTAGTGCTGCAATTTGGTTTCCTTAACAATACATCATGATATAATATTATAATCACATGTAAAAAACAAAAAATAATTTCGCTAGAAAGGGAGATCGTTAACTTTTTTTTTTTATTTTTTATTTTTTATTTTTTTTGGAAAATTTCCAAAAAAAAATAAAATGTTCAAAATCAATTTTTTTTTTAGCAGTGATTCACTTATTATTAATACGCACAACACAGTTAAAATATTAAAGCCGAATGGTGAGAAATTTATTAATACAGTAATAAAAATACAATATTCAAAGTCGACCCCTGATTAGGGATATCGAAACTCCAAAGTCGTAAATTGATATTAATAACGATTTTAAATTGCGCCTGATTAACTCGCTGCGCCATTAACGATCGTATTCTCATTTCTGGCAGACTTTTCTGACACTTCGGACCTAATTGTTACTTATTGACGCCGGGTGATCGTATAATTCTAATTTGCACAAAGAAAATTAAATTATGAAAATCTCTTATTTTAATTATAAATAATTAAACAATAAGCGAATCTATTGACTTACCTCTGGAAGTGCAACTACTCGAAAACGAAAAAGCTTTTACGTAGTGAGCTTTTTACAAAAGAAGTATATTAAGAAAATGATCTTCTATTTATACAATTCTCATCGATAAGTAAAATGCATTTTATGTATAAATTTATATTCTAATAATTTTAAAGTATTTAATTTCTATTATATGATTGGTCAAAACCGTGCACATAAATTGTTTATAAGTACAAACAAACATTGTCTTATCCGGGTTATTGAATTTTCGATCGGTTAAGGTCATAATTTTACTTTACACTCGTCCCGGATGATCTAATTTTGTACTATATGATATATAAATTACGCATACTTATTTTTGTTTATATGATTTCAATTCTTTCATGTCTTTTATAAGGTATTGTGAGTTGCCATTTGAAATATTGCTTGTCCGGACTACTTTATTATTCGGTCGTCAATTATGAGGTCACGTGGGATTAAAAATATATTTTTTTGTGTGAAACCAAACGATTGACGAATTGACATTGATTCATTGCATTGTACTACTAATTTATAACAATTACAATAAAAAAAAAAAAATACCAATTTTTTTTTTAATTTTAACGATGCGATGACTGATAATAAAAAGAAAGTCGATGAAGTTGGTAAATATGAAGTTTAGCGTATTGAAACAAGTTTATATAAAACTAAACTTTTGAAACAAAACAAATTTTTTAAAAAAACAAAAACTAATACTTTTTACATAATTTAAACTAAAATAAAAAATTTTTATTTAAAAAATAATTAACATTAATAATTAATAATATAATAGAAAGTAAGTTATTTGTATTAATTATTAATTAGTATTTAATTATACTTTTTAATACAATTTAAACTCAACTAAATTTTTTATTTAAAAACAAAAAACTATTAAAGGTCGTAAGTTATTTTTATTGATTATTAGTATTTAATTATACTTTTTATTGTAATTTAAACTCAATTAAATTTTTTATTTATAATCAAAAAGCTATTGAAATTTGTAAGTTATTTTTATTGATTTTTAGTATTTAATTATAATTTTTACTGTAATTTAAACTCAACTAAATTTTTTATTTAAAAAAATAAATAATTTAAAATTTGAGATTGTAAGTTATTTGTATTAATTACTAGTATTTAATTATACTTTTTACTGTAAATTAAACTCAACTAATTTTTTATTTAAAAAATAATTAATGATTAATAATATACTAGGAAGTAAGTTATTTGTTTTAATTATTAGTATTTAATTAACTTTATACTGTAATTTAAATTCAATTATATTTTTATTTAAAAATATATAATTATATAGAAAGTAAAATATTTGTCTTGATTATTAGTATTCAATTATACTTTTTATTATAATTTAAACTCAAATAAATTTTTATTTAAAAAATATACAATTATATAGAACGTAAGTTATTTGTAATAAATATTAGTATTTAATTATACTATTTACTGTAATTTAAACTCAACTAAATTTTTATTTAACAAATATACAATTATATAGAATGTAAGTTATTTGTATTGATTGTATTGATTATTAGTATTTAATTGTTCTTTTTACTGTAATTTAAACTCAACTACATTTTTATTTAAAAAAATAATTAATAATTAATAATATAATAGTACATAAGTTATTTGTAATAAATATTAGTATTTAATTATACTTTTTTACTGTAATTTATACTCAACTAAATTTTTATTTAAAAATGTATAACCATATAGTTCGTAAGTTATTTGTATTGATTATCAATAATTAATTATACTTTTTACTATAATTCATACTCAACTAATTTTTATTTAACAAATATATAACCATATAGAACGTAAGTTATTAGTATTAATTATTAGTATTTAATTAACTTTTTAATGTAATTTAATAATTTAATTTCAATTAAACTTTTTATTTAAATTTATTTTATACTTAAATAAATTTTTATTAAATAAAATATAAAATAATTTAGAAAGAAAAAGTAAGTTATTTGTATTATTTTTATTATTTAATTATATCTTTTATTGTAATTAAACTTATTAAATTTTTTATTTATAAAAATTATTGATAATTAATAATATATTAGTTGGTAATTATTTTTATTGATTAATGTTTAATTATTAAATATTCTGTAATTTATTAATTTTCAAATATATAATATAAAAAATAAATAATTAAATATTATAATTTATATAAAAAATTAAAAAATAAATATTGAAAATAAAATTTTTAATTAATTTTATTAATTTAAATTAATAGAAAACAATAATTTTTAGGATGATTATCAAAATAATAATGCTACTAAATGGATAGAAAATGCATTAACAACTGAAAAATTTAAATTTATACCATTTAATCAATTAATAAATTCTATACAACTTACTACTGGAGATTTGGAAGTATTATGAAAGCAACTTGGATTAAAACAGGAACTTGTATTATTTATAAAAAATTAACTAATACACAATCTATTAAAG